GAGGAACTCTACCACGTTTGTTTGTACTTCTCCGCACCCCACATGTTTGTTTTGAACAAACACTTTTTGTAGTTTGGGTATTATGTTCAGGGTCGCAAATTCACAGCTAGCCAGCTGGCTGAAGCATGCATCTCTCCGATCTAACCTCGCCGCAGTCTGTGGAAGCTGCGACCGTGGAAGCGACCGCGGGAAGCATCACGAGTCACTGGGCAGAGGAGTTGCTAGAAAGGAGCATTGGGGGTCGGAACCGCCAAGAAATGGACCAACTCTTGGCAGGAACCAAATCTTTGGAAAGGACCGGATGCAAACCCTTGTGCATAACCTGCGTCATTGGGAAATTGGCTGAACATGTTGATTGAACTATACGTATACGTATATATAACTCAAATTCCGAAGGGAAGCACATTATGATTATCGAAGTTTGACATCATTTGACACTTCCTCAACACCACCCAGCTTGGCGGCAAACCTGGTGGAAGTGATCTAAAGCCCGCATATGTTGTTTTGCATGTTTGATCATTCTTGAGTGGATAGGCTTTTGGAAATTCCAGTCTTTGGTATGGTTCTTCCATTGTTGTTGGGATTGTGCAACATTCCGGTCGTTTATTTGAGGATGGATGCACCACCCATTTTCCAGCATGCAGGTAGGGGGCGAACGTTGCATTGAATATGACTACAATTTTTTCCTGTGCTGCTGAACTGTTCCAATTCAAGTTACTGTTTCTATATATTATAAATATATATATATATTCAAAAATCCCCAGCTCCCTGCATGGATGACCGAAGTTCACCCAACAAAAATACGCCTCACACCTCCCCGACTCTTTCAGGAATAATCTATCATGAAATCCTATGGTCAACTGCCTAACTGTGTGGTCACTGTGGACTGTTCGCAAATCCATCATGAGGACATTTCCGAACTACAGTGTAACTACAGATATAGGACTTCCATAGGCTTCAGATGGTGCTGAGCTGGTCCATGTGATCACTGGTGACTCGTCCCCAGTGAGTTAGTGGGTGGTTTTGGGGGGGTGAGTTTCATGTGTTTACTTTGGCAACTGAAGTCGGGAGAGCGCTTTGAAAACGGAGGACGAGCTGTTTGAAGCATACGCACTTGTAAACTCCAAAGCACCAGACATGCCTCCAAAAATCTAGTTTCGGGGTCTATGGTAGATTTCGGGGTGCAACATGCTGTAAGAAACGGCCGACTCACAAGCAGGCACACGACCCTTCTTGAAACAGCTAGGCTAGGCATTTGATCCAACATGTAAACCTCATGTTATATTGAATGGTTCCCCCTCTTAATCAGTTAAGCAACAGTGATGCTCACATGCATTGAAGCTGCCTTGCAGCTAAGGCTTACACGAGCAGCTTCTTGTGAGGAAAAATGCGTCGCGTGTGCATGGTGGGTCGTGAGGGCTGATCAGAAGAGGGATGAAGACGATCTGAATTGGAGCACTCCAGGGAAAGGAGACAGACATAGAAAAGACCATGGTCGACCTGGGTGCACGAGAAAAACACGAAAGCTGCCACCTGGGAATTTCCGCAGCTGTAGCTATAGCAGGACCGGCATGCGTCATGCTGACCCACGTGAGTAGTAAGTGTAATTCAAAAAGCGTATGCCGACCAGAAGTTGGACCTTATTAAGAATGAAGCTGGTGATTCGGTGATTCTAAAGCCTAAGGAAGGCTGGCCAGTTCGCTATTTATGCGTGCCCTGCTAAGTTCAGTCGAAAAGTGCAGGAATAGACAGAACATGACAGAACTGTTGGGTGGAATAAAGACTCCAAACACCTTGCATGATGTTTGCTTTAGGTTTGAGACACGACACCTTCGTGCACACACACATGGTCACATGTATGTATATTTATATAGATGATACTATATTGTATGTTTACATATCCAGGTTGTTGTTAATCAACGCTGGTAGAAAGACCTTTTTATTGCCACAACGGCGTATACAAATGGTATGACATGGTGACAGCGATGAGCGTGACGCCGTTGCGCCATTGCCCCGAGGTACCACAAGCAGCGCTACACACTCTTCTCCAAGTTTCTGGGCTCATTGGTTCACCACTGCACTGCTTTAAGGCAGCATTTGGGTGGGGGTTTTTGGCAGTTGAAAAAGGTCATCAATTCTCCTTGGCCTGGGTGTCAGGAACAAGTAATAAAGGTTTCTGTTGTTGAACAGCCATGATGGATGGTGAAAAGTTTTGGAGACATAATCTTGTTTTGGTGCAATGACAACTTTCAAGCATTTTTTGTTCTACTGGTTGCGTTTCACATTGATCACACGTGATCCGACCAAGGTTTGACAAAGGCATCAAGTTGGATGAGGAGCCACATCGATCTTCTCACGAATTGTGTATTGACAGGTTTGCTTGGAGGGATCCATTGCACCATTGCTCACTATTCTCCGAGGTTTGACCGGTTTGGTTGGTTAGGACTATGGCTATTTTCTTCATGAGCAATTTGCTCGTGAAGAGTGCGGATCTTTTCATCGGGTCCAATCATTTGCAGACACCTGACATACGGTTTCGTTATCCATGAGTATTCACCTGAGGATCTAGCAGAAATATTGGACATTTAGCAGGCCACCGAGGGGAGAAAACCCTGAGAAACCTTATAATATAGACGTCCCTGGATTTGTAAATTGGGGGTTGCACCAGCATCAGCTGTTCACAAGAGGTGACTAGAAACTGTTTTTGGTGACAGTGACTTTGATAAAGACTATACATACTACAATGCTGAGGACTGTCTGCCAATTTTTATGTGATGCATCGTGTGGAAGAACCTTATGAGCCCAGGATACTACTTGGATGCCTCGACTGACACATTGCATTTATATAGACGGAAACTCTATGCTCGGCCGTTGTTCACTTGAACGAGGAGATGTGGTATTCAGTGACCCCTGAGCCGATTGCAAAGGAACAAGCAAGCCAGGTGCAGTGCATGGGGAATTAGTAGTGCGGGAAGGAATGTGAGAGGTTCCTTTTCACTGCTTTGGACCGTTGACAGCTTTGTAAGACGCACAGTTTATGAAATCCAACAATTTGATACAATTTGATATGCACATGTTTGACGTGCCTTTTCTATCATACTCTTTGGGTGAGCTGCATTCTCCAGTTGGAGGCCTACTTCCTAAGAAAGGCTGCGATTCGTAGAGTATGCAGGCTCCTGATCATTCAGAAACACCCTGTGACGGTTTTTAAAGAGCCATCCGTGCTGCCGCAGCCCGCAGGTTGCAGCTGGCAGCCCGGGCCCCAGTCCAGAAGGTTCCAGGTGTCCCAGGTGCTGGCCTTGGGTTAGGTCGAACGGCCATTCGACGTGAAAATCCCCAAGGAAGTCCTTAGATGTTCGACCTGAATATCAGGAGTCGACCTCAAATTGGCAGGGCAAATGGTGGTCGAACAGATGTGAATTGGATATGATATTAAGAGACAAGAGCCCTTGCATGAACCTCTAACCAGGTTATATATAGTCCGCGTTTGGTTGCTCAGCCATATATATATGTTTATCTCATTGTGGATTCTTATCTTAGATATTGTCACCATGATTTGACCCATTGCATCATTATCGCGGATTAATATCGGGCTCCTTCCTCAAGGTCCTCACAGTCCATATTCCAGGCACCTCCACAGTTCAATGAACATCATTGCCCAAGAGTCATAGCGATTCCAACCCAGCCATTCGCAGCAATGTGTTTTTTTGCGGCCTGGTATCGAGCTGTTAGGCTGTTAGGGGTTAGCAGCTTTCTTCAAACAGCAGGCGTGGGCCAACAAGGAGCACCAAGTAACGTAACCCCTGGTTGCTTGATTCAAAACCGCCCTGCAGGACATTCAACTCCAAGATGTGTGTTTAAATCCACTTTGAAGTGCATTGACCATGAAACGGCATTATACATGCCATCCTTAAGTCAAGAGAATCTCCCACACTCCAAAAAAGGTGCTGCATATATGGTTTATACATGTTTATACCTAAACTATTTTTAGCTTGGACACCATGTGTTTTTGCTACTTCAGTGGCCGCACATGAAGCCTGCCCAGATGAGACAACCTGCTTGAGGTGGTGCTCCTGGCATTTTCATCGACAGCTTCGGCGGCGCGGGGGGGGTTGGGATGCTCGGGAACGGCGTCTCCGCTGTCGTGCAGATCCAGTCGTCAAATGAGGTGGTGGACAGATGGTGTTTTTGTGCACCGGTGCAGCAGGCCGATTGGCAAGATCTTTAGCAAGTTGGTTTAGTCATCGACTGAGTATATAAATGTCTCGCGGTCTAGCCAGACAGATGATGAGACAGTATCCAATATCAACCACTCCAGCTTCTCAGCTACTTGTGCCTTTGAAGTCCCAGCTTTTGGGAGGTTGGATGGATATATACATTCTTCCGTGACCAGGCATAGCTTATGTTTTAGAGTTTAGAGTTCGGTCGCCACAGTAGGTGCACTTCAACGGTATTGTTTCCCGTATCTGTAGATAGGGAATGAGTAATCCAGACATTGCGGCAATGTGTATGACGATGAATGTTTGGCTCAACTTCAGCTGGGCAACCTGAGCTTTCCTGATAGTGAAGGCCACTGACAGAAGAGCCATGTTCGGCCCATGACAAGTTCAAGTGATTCAAGTGTCGTTCTTTTCGAATTATGCTTGATGTGTTATGTACGCTTGTGTAAGCTTTTAACTTGCATTTTTTGGGTGCATCCCGTATTAACGGCTTTTTGCCTTGCACTACGCCAGGGCCTCAACACCACCAATAACGCCTCTGGAGCACTTGGAATCACGCAGAGAACGTCGAACACGGAACATGCTAATTTCAAGCAGGATGCAGCACGTCGGAGGGCCAAGATGGTTGAACCGTGTTGAACATGTTTCTTGACTACCGCTGGAAGTATTGACCACTTCTCAGCACTGGCTTCAGGCCTGATATCCAAGAATAGATCATGTGCGTGCTTGGCATTCTTCGGGTTGTCCACAAATCGTTGTACGCCGCGTGCGCTGCATCCCATGGCTGAAGCTGAAATGGCCTTACGCAAGGAGCTGTTGCTCTTCGTGGCTTTGTCAGAAAAGATTTTACGCTGGGATTCTGCAAGTTGAGGGAAAGCCCCCCCAGGAATAGAGGATTCGAAGAGTATTGCTTTTGAGCAGGCTTTTGTCGGGAGCGACTGGCTTGCCACGCTTTTGGTTGGGCTTTCGATGTCCCCCTTTGCAGCTGTTTTGCGTCTCCGGAGCTGCTGGATCTTCGCAGCTGGTTCCACCCAGAGGTCTCCGGTCTCGTCGGGCTCGGTCTCTACGGTCGTGAATCGGGACCGAACGTGGAAGGTTTAGGACCTTATAGGAACCCACTGGACCTTCAACGGGTGTCCAATGGAGATCCCTAAGTAGAGGCCTGGGGCTTCCATCCAGGTGACCGCAGCCAGAAGGTGCTGGTATAGAATTGAACCATTTGCTTCGTCACACATCGCGCCACCTAAACGCTTGGAACAAGCGGATTGAACAAACGTAACGGGTTCAGGAGGACCTTTGAGTGCCACAAGACCACAGACAGATGACAAGTGTTTGGTTCATATTTCAACCATCATTGGCGTGGAAGCTTGGGTGAAACAGCGTTTCCCTTTCGGAAGTCTCAACAAACAGTAGACATGGGACAATGGTGACATGCTTCTTAAAGTCACAGGGTCGGAATCCCATTTGTTTGTTTGTCTCGGAGTCAGGAAGGCTCCCTTCAGGCTCCTTAAGGAGGCTTCCTAGAAGGGTCTAGTGCCCGTCTAACGCAACTTGCGAGGCTCAGACAACCCTACGCGAGGAACTGAAGTCCTTCAAGGAGAGTACCGGACAGAATGACCTTGACACGTGTGTATGAAAACATTAAAGAATGCTAGGCAGGGACATATGGATAGCTTGAATGCACATATATTACTGTACAATATATATTATATCTATGGATTATTGATCTTTTGGGGTGATAGTCCACGATCATTTGGACGTCCTGCTGAGCGTCCAACAGTTCCAAGGAGATGAGGTCCTCAGACAGTATACAGTTGCATTTGGTCAAGTTGTTTTTCTCACAGGTAAATGCGATTCTGAAGTGCACTGTGCACTTCACTCCCGCTTTAGGGAGAAGATCCACTTCCCGCGCTATTGTATGATGAACTATGGGGCTGATATTGACCTGCAGACTCTCATTCGCGAGCCGCTCGTCGCTCACGAGGGAGGCAGTGGCGCCATACGGTTCGGAGCGTTGTGCCGAGCGCTGCAGTGTGCAGGAGAGCCTTTTGAAAGAGCTGCGAGGGGAGCAGGAGGCACCGCGGACCGCATGTACTCGCCAGGGGCTGGGAGTCACTGCAATCAAAGACCGAGAATGAGCATCCGGTGGAATTCATCTTTCCTGAGCATCCCGGAAGCTACTAGACTAGGGTCGTTTGGCGCATGCAGGAGGAGCTGCAAACAAAAGAGACACTCCCTTTTGCAGTAGCACACGGTCAGGAAAACCCCGCATACCCATCACACATGTGCTAAGTGAATGAATGGAAGTGGTGGTCCAATGCCTCAATGGAGTGGACACGTCCCATGTCCGTCCGGGCTTGGAATTCCCCATGTATATATGATTATGATCAATGTAGCCTTATGGGCCTCAAATCACACATCCTTTGCTTCAAATGCCGAATCTTACAGTGGTTAGATGGCACTGGCATCCCAAGATGTTTGTCGACAGATGGGACTCCATACAGTAGCAACCACCGAACTTGGGGTAACAGACGTGCCATCGAACCTTTGAATCCACTTCTGTCCTTGTCAGGGACCTTATGGGCACCTTCCGTGCGCGAGCCTGGTCGGGCACCCCCCCGCCCTGCGCACCTGAGGAGGTGAAAACGCCCACGAAGAAGCGCTTCTTGCATGAGGCGGTGCACGGCATGCCAGAGGCACCGGTGGCGTTTCCGCGGCCGTTCGGATGGCAGGAGAGTGCCACAAAAGGACAGTGCCCAAAAAAACAACATTCAATTTGATGAGCCAATGTTTTGAGTTCAGGGACGAGATGAGTACTGTAACAGTGACTTTGTAGAACATGTCTCGCTAGGGGTGAGTACATATGACACAAGCCAGTTTATGTATGTTTTCTGACGACAACCTCGAAGTCCAAAGACTTAAGTGGAGAGGAAAGTTCTTTCTGCTGTCTAAAATATCGGCATGGTCTTGGACACAAATCCGCTGGTGTTTGATATGATTATTTAAGGTACCTCTCATTAAGATGTTCAGGTGTCGGATTAATTCTTGCATCCTCCTCCAAAGTACCACTGACTCCGTGAAACAGCTGTGAACGGTGAGAAAACACCGTGTCTGCCGGTCCGGGTCACCGGCCGGATGAGGGCTGCCATAGGCTGCCGTTGAGGGAGATATACCAATGGAAGCATGCGGTTGAGTGTTCTGGTTGTGCTCAAGATGGGCTCATAGGAGGAGGTGGAGGAGGAGCAAATGAGTGTAACACGTCCAAGACTCTTGGTGGATCAGTTGCATGGAATCGTATCTGACGTATCTCTCAAGCGCAGCATTTGCGGGCTTTGGAGCATCCAAGATCCGAAGCATGTGCCCCATGTAGATCAGATATCTCAAGCATGTCCGAATTCATTATCTAATTTGTGTTGGGACAAGTTCCGGACATCATGACCATTGGACCAGCTACACATCTTCCAACCAGAGATTTTTCTCCGCTCAATAACATCCCGCTCCGCGCGTTTTCAAGGCCAGCTCCGCGCGATGCGGACGCATCTTGGGGCTGGGCAGCAGCAACGAGCGCTCGGCGGCTCGCCGGAGTCCGTTCGCGCTTGACGCGTTCGACGTGGGCGTCGACTCTGGGGTCGGTGTAACTAGGACACCCACGTGGAGCATAGACCAGCACCTTCAAAGGGGTCACCTGGCTGGAAGCCCCAGCCCACTACTTAGGGATCTAGATTGGGTCCATTGGATACCCCTATCAGGGACTCTATGTGTTTTTTTTATATAAATAGTTTATGTATTTCTTATTTTCTCAAGGCCCCACCTCATCCAGGTCACATACTCGGCTTTAGAACAAAATTGGTTCTTGATTGGGATCAAGATCGTCGCAGAGAGAAGTGAGCAAGCGATACCGATTGGGGACCTATGTGGAGGTTTGCAGAGATACACTGGGAAAGTCGCCAACCTTGACGGAAGGTCCATGTGTAGTTAAGGAATCAGAGATAATAGGTGTGGCCGAAGCCGAAATCGGCCAAAGGCACTCACCAACACTTTGCTTTCTTAGTATGCACTGCACAGTTTTCCAGTGGACTACTCTGACATTATTGTCATGACATAGCATTGTAAGGAGTTTCCTTGGTGACCATGCACGCATTGTGCTAGGATATGTCAGGTGTTTCCACTTTGGTTCCACCACGCGTAGGTCCAATGAGAGTTTGAAAGATTTGTACATTTTAAACTTGTCAGGAAATACTGGGTGAGGCACAGAGATTTAGCCTGTCATGCGTTTGAGCCACATGAACAATGCATTGTTCCACAAAGTTCAAAGAGAACAAACCACTGCTCCAGGGATTTGAACCTTGTGGATCTTCCAAGGGTGGAGTCAGTGGATGGTTTCACAATGTTTCGCATTCAAAAGGGACAAACACAATATATTCTCCCGCAAATTAACATGGAAGCTGAGAATTGACCGGTGGAAGACCATTTTCCTCTACAACCCAGTGGTTTTGGGGTTCCATGTTAATCTGCGGGGGAGTATACATATATATATATATATATGTTTCGCAATCAATGGTTTTTGGTTTCATATGTGTGAAGGTCTAACTCGGACTCCCGGACCAGGTGCACTTACTGACTGCCGACTGCCGACCCCCCCAGGCGTCCTCGTTAAACATCGAAGAACAATCAGAGGCCGAAGACTTGTGGAACTTGCGGAAGGGGAACTGGCATCATTTAGGGATGTGGATAGGACGCTACTAGTATCCAAGAGCATTGCTACTTAGGAGCTCCTGGCCTCACTAATGTCCACCTGAAGAATAACCCCCCCCCCCCCTTGATCAAGTGCGGGCCCTAAATAATGTAAAATCCAGAAAAATACAAGACAAATCTTGAACAAGGCAAATGAAAGGGCAGAAAAGGAAATGAAAGAATAGTGGAAATCAAAATAAAGGAAAGGAAATTGAAGGAAAGGAAGCAGCTATAAATCAGAGTCCATAACAATTTACAGTAGTATTGTTTGAGGGCCATTTATACATTGTTGTTGAAACAACTTCAGTATTATTCACGGGCCATATAGAAATCAGAAGTCAACATTACTAGTAGCAAGAAGCTACTGGTAGAGTGTATATTATATATATGTCGGGAAATGGGCACCAGAGTTGTTTAACAGGCTTCCAGCGCAGTGCGGGTTCTTCCACTCATTGGGTTTCGCAGTGGAATCCCAACTTCCTCCTGAGGAGTCTATCAATGATATGAGTGTCACACTGGCCTAGAGCAGAGATGTCATGCGTTTGCTAACACCTCACACACTGCATGCCCCAGGCCAGTGCTGCTTGTTGCCAGTGGTACACTTAAACTGGCATCACTGATGGATGCATACACCAGCATCGACACACAAATCAGTATTGCACTTTGGACCCCTCGTGGTTAACTCAAATCCGTTCTCGTTGATGCACTCAAACGGGGGCACAAAAATTGGGAGTTGTTCCTTGCCCCCCCGACACCGTTAGACTTGATTCCTCCAACTCATCCTGTTGATATCCATTGATGCTTCCAATACTGTAATATTTTTTTGCCCCGAATCTTCCAATTCTGTAAGTTACTTCCACCCATGGCCAGCCGTCCATTGACCCGTCACACTGGCCCGGACCCTTGACCACTCACGCCAGGATGTGTCGACGAGAAGGCGCCAAAAGTGGAGTCTTTTTTCCCTCCCGCCACGGACCACACCAGTGGCCAAAAATGAAGTATCGTCCCGAAGAGGAGGTCCTCTCGAAGAAATCGATTCTATTACTGTATGTTGAGATCCCTTTCGCCCGTGATAATTTCTTGGCCTCCCTGGACTGCCTCCTCCCAAGACTTGGAAGTTCATGGCGGTTCTCCAGCCCCCCCAAACCAACCTTTGTGTCGACCAAAGAGATGTTTGTTTAGCAGCGCATATCCATGTATAATCAGAGTATCAAGGATACCTGTTCGCAGTAAACATCTAAACATCATGACTGGTGATTTTGATGGGATGATGTTGACATCCGCCCCCGTTGCATGCCGGCGTTAAACCAATAAAATGTGTGGCCTTGAAAATGCCTTGGAAGGGTAGGCTGCTTGACCTTGATCGTCAGGCCGCCAACGACCATGGCACAGCATGTGGTCGCCGCTCATTTGCACGTGAGATCCATGCAGATCAATGAAGATTGACATTAAATATTACTTCCTGCACAAGGTCTCCAAGACGGCGGTTGCACTCATCCTTGGAGTTGGATGTTTAGATGCTTGTGGGATCTTGTGGGTTCTGATGGAATATGCATGTAGAAGACTGACTAGGCACAGACCCTTTTTTCTACTGTTACTATACTGGTAATTTTGCCCAGCTCAGGTGGGGACGACATGTTGGGAATAGGGGAGCATATATACGTGATTATATACGATGCATGCATACATACATACATACATACATACATACATACATACATACATACATACATACATACA